TAGCCTTGAGCTGAAGAGCTAAGGGACAGCGCCCAAGTCCAGAGTTCAGGCCCCATGACCAACCAAAAAAATAAAAATAAAACAGGAGGGTAGCTCACACCTGTAATCCTAGCTTCACAACAGCTGATATGTGATCACAGTTCGAAGCCAGTCCAGGCAGAATAGTATGTGAGACTCGTATCTCCAATTAACCACCAAAAAGCCAGAAGTGGAGGTATAGCTCAAATGGTAGAGCTCTGTGAGCAGAAAAAGCTTTGTCAATATATACGTTATATGTACACACACACACAAAGCCAGAAATATTGGATTGGACACAAATCTCAGGACTGTGGAACATTGGGAGGGAGGGTGGGAGTAAAAGAGTTTGTGTGTGTGTGTGTGTGCGTGTATGTGTACGTGTATGTGTACGTGTGTGTACTGGAACTTCAATTCAGGGTCATCCACTCTCACGTGGCTTTTTTACTCAAAGCTAGCCATTTACCACTTGAGCCACACCTCCACGCAGCATTTGATGGTTAACTGGAGATAGGAGTCTCATAGAGGGCTAAGAAGGTGGCTCTGTGATAGAGTGCTTGCCTCGCATGCATGAGGCTCTGGGTTCGATTCCTCAGCACCACATAAATGGAAAAAGTTGGAAGTGGCGCTGTGGCTCAAGAGGTAGAGCGCTAACCTTGAGCTGAAGAGCTGAGGGACAGCGACCAGTTAGCTTCAAACCTCACTCAGTCTTAGGTCTCAGCCGCCTAAGTAGCTAAGATTACAGACAGGGATCAGCTACTCACTACTACCCAGGTGACTGGAGTTTTTTCCATTGGGAAGAAAAAGAATTTTAATCAGTGGAAACTACTTAAAAAATTGGTATATTTTCATAATGTAAGTTTTTTCCTATAGTGTATATTTGTATGACTCTTAAGCAGTTCTTTAGTTGCATATAGTCTGTAATGACATAGTGTAATTTATTAATAACATTTTAGTGAGATAATGTTATGGTAATGCTCATTTAAATAGCTGAGTAAAAACAGATTCCAAAATGGAGGATCAGCAAGAGCCATCAGGGAAGCAGGCTAGGGAGATGAGGCCTGCTTAACCACTTACCATGGCTCACTCCAGCCCTCTCCTCTAGATCCTGAAGCAAAACAACACTCGACTTGAGAGCCGAACACAGCTGGTCACCATGTGCCACATGGGTCCCAAAGTCTTCATGAATTGTGCTGGCTTCCTCAAGATTGACACAGCCTCCCTGGGGGACAGGTGATGCCCTCTGCCTAGACGAACCAGGAGAATTCCTGTGGGCTTTGATTTGCAGTTTCAAGAGATTAGTGTTATCAAAGAGCCCCAAGCCATTTAAATTAGAACATTTTTTGTTTTGGATTGGTTTGTTTTTATTTTGTTTTTTGTTGTTTTTCTTTTTGGTTTGTTTTATGGTAAGGATCAAACCTAGGGTTTTTCACTTGCTAGGCAAGTGCTCATCTTCTGAGCTACATATCCAACCTCTAAATTAGGAAATGCTTTAAAGAAAAGGTAAGGAGTCTTTATTCAGTTCAAGAGCCGCTGACCTATGGAAAAGATCGGTTCAATTATGTGAGGCTTAGTTCATCTGAGAGAAATAAAAGAATGAATTTAGTTTGTGAATTCAGGGCCTAGGACAAAACACAAGATTTTGTTACTGTGGTTTGTTGCGTCCAGATAAGGGTGGGAAGAATGTGGGGAGTGGAAAATAGTGTGGGTGTGAAGAGGTACAGAAGGGGGAGAGTGATTGTTATGTTTTAAGATGATGTTTTTGAGAGAAAGTTCTATTCACTTGGACTTTGGACTTCACTATTGACCTCTTCCTCTCCAGAAGTTATCAACTCAGTCTTTGGAGGATCTTTTCCACGGGCACATAGCTCCTCAATTCAGTAATGGAAGTCAGTGGGGAATAGGCTTCAAGTTCTAAAACTTCATTTTCCACTCAGCTTTGCTGTAACACTCCACGAATAACATAGGTCCATGTGAGTGCACGGGCAAGACTAGCCTGGGAAGGCTTTATGGGGGAAAACAGCTGTCAGCAAATTCTCAGGTCTTTTTCCCCCTTCTTGTTTTATCTTCTTGTAAGATTCATATTAGTTCATTATATAAAATTCAACATAAAGAAATATTATGCAGAAAGTGGAAGTCCCCCATAACCCCACTCCCCAGAGATAACTACCATAACAATTTTTATGTATACTAGTTTTTTCTAAATTTTAATTTTGCTATGCATTTACTAACTACCCATTTGCTACCAAAAGAAATGGGATCATATGATTCATAGTGTTTTGCAGTGCATTTTCCACATATCAGTACATCATGGCCATCTTCCCATGTCAGCACACAGATCTATCTACCTCATTCTTTTTAATGACTGTACAGTATCCATCATATGGAGGTACCCTGGTTTATTTAACCAGTTCCCCATTGGTGAAATTTGGGTTGTTACTAGAGACTTCTTGTTCTATATCCTGCCCCTTTTTTCCTTTTCTTCAGCACTGATTCATACATTGAGGTCCTTGATGGTTCCCGTGTTCACCCTGAGACCTATGAATGGGCCAGGAAGATGGCAGTAGATGCCCTGGAATATGATGAATCTGCTGAGGATGCTAATCCTGCAGGAGCCCTTGAAGAAATCTTGGAAAACCCAGAACGACTCAAGGATTTAGATCTTGATGCCTTTGCCGAAGAACTAGAGAGGCAGGTAGGTGACAGTGTGGAAGGTCTGGTAGTAAAGAACCAGTCCTAATGGCCTAGGTAAGAGAGTTTGTCTTGAGCAAGTATCCAGAGAAACCCTGATACTATTAGATTACAGGCTTGGGCCTGCCACTTCCCTGTCTGTATGTTGCTGGCTTTCTCCAGGGACTGTTTGTCTTCTTATTAAGGAGCCAGAAAAGCCTCAAATGTTTTGACTATAATTGTGAGAGATGGGACCTATGTCAGTACTAGAGTTTCCTTCTAAACCCTCTTTCTTCCTTTCTGACAGCAAAGGTTTGCATTTGTTTATGTTTTCATGAAGCATTGCTAGCTTCGAAAACAACCTTTTGTGAGGCAAAAACAGTTAGTTACAAGTGCCTCCTTGCTACTCAACAGGAAGATCACAAGGGTGACCTGGGTAATGCAGTGATGCATCATCTTTTTTTTTTTTTTAAGTGTGGGGGGAAGCCATGCCAGGTGCCAATGGCTCACGCCTGTAATCCTACCTACTCAGGAGTCTGAGATCTGAGGATCACAGTTCAAAACCAGCCAGGACAGAAAAGTTCCAGTGAGACTCTTATCTCCAATTAACCTCTCAAGAACTAGAAGTGGCACTGTGGCCCAAGTGGTAAGAGTGCTCGCCTTGAGCACAAAGAGGCTCAGGTACAGAGCCCAGGTCCTAAGTTCAAGTCCCACAACCAACAAAAAAAAAAAAGCTATGCCTGGCCCGGGGCTGGTTGCTCTCGCCTATAATCCTAGCTACTCAGGAGGCTGAGATCTGAGGATCAAGGTTCAAAGCTAGCCTGGGCAGGAAAGTCCAGGAGACTCTTATCTCCAACAAACCACTCAAAAAATAGAAGTGGCGCTGTGACACAAATGGTAGAGTGCTTGCCTTGAGCTGAAGAGCTGAGGGATAGCACCCAGGCCCAGCATTCAAGCCCCATGACTGACCAAAAAAAAAAAAGCCATGCATCAGTGGCTTGTACCTATAATACTGGCTACCCAGGAAGTTGAGATCTGAGGGTTGCAATTCAAAAACAGCTGGACAGGAAACTCTGTAGCCTCTCATCTTTAATTATAAAGCTAGAAATGGAGCTGTGACTGAAACTCTGGCAGAGCCCAGGTAACAGGTTTTAAAGTCCAAGAAAGAACAATCAAAAATAACTGTCAGCTAAACGCTGGTGGCTCACATGTATAATCCTAGCTACTCAGAAAACTAAGATCTAAGGATTGCGGTTCAAAGCCAGCCAGGGCAGAAAAATTCGTGAGATTCTTTTTATTTATTTATTTATTTTTGGTCAGTTGTGGGGCCTGAACTCTGGGCCTGGGTGCTGTCCCTCAGTTCTTCAGCTCAAGGCTAGCACTCTACTTCTTGAGCCACCATGCCACTTCCGGCTTTTTTCTGCTTATGTGGTGCTGAGGAATTGAACCCAGAGCCTCATGCATGCAAGGCAAACACTCTACCACTGAGCCACCTTCCCAGCCCTCATGACATTCTTATCTCCAGTTAACCACCAGAAAAATGGAAGTGGTGCTGTGGCTCTAGTGGTAGAGTGCTACCCTGGGTGGGACAGCACCCAGGCCCAGAGTTCAAGCCACATGACTGAACAAAAAAAAAAGTAACTCAGGCCTGTAATTCTAGCTACCAGGCAAACTTTTTGTAAGACTACATCTCAACAACTGCTGAGCATGATGTATATGCTTGTCATACAAACTTCAGCAAAAAGTACAAGAGCATCAAAGCCTAGAGCCTGGCAAAAAGTGAAACGTGGAACTAGAGTAGAGCATCTGTGTAGAAACATGAGACCATGAGTTCAGACCCAAGTGTCAAAAAAAAAAAAATAGCAGGCTCACACCTGTAATCCTAGTTACTCAGAAACTGAGATCTGAGTATCCAGGTTTAAAGCCAGCTTGGACAGAAAAATCTAAGACACTTATCTCTAGTTAACCAGCCAAAGTCAGAAGTGAGGTATGGCTCAAGTGTTAGTATCTGTGTTGGTGAAAAAGTCAAAGGAGAGTACCCGGCCCCGAGTTCAAGCATTCCTACCAACAGAGAAGGGGGGCAGGGAGGAGAAGGGAGAGGAAAGAGACTCTCCAAAAGTGAGAAAGTGAGATCCTATCCCAAAAATAACTAAAGGGGCTGGGAAGGTGACTCAGTGGTAGAGCGCTTGCCTTGCATGCATGAGGCCCTGGGTTCGATTCCTCAGCACCACATAAACAGAAAAAGCCAGAAGTGGTGCTATGGATCAAGTGGTGGAGCACTAGCTTTGAGCTGAAGAGCTGAGGGACAGGGCCCAGGCCCAGAGTTCAGGCCCCATGACCGACAAAAAAAAATAACTAATTAAAAAAAATAAACCAAGGGAAGCCAGGAGCCAAGGCTCATACCTGTAAACCTAGCTACTCAAGAGGCTGAGATCTTAAAAATCTCCTTGAAGCCAGCCCAGCTAGGAAAATCCATGGGACTCTTATCTCTAGTCAAATGGTAAAATGTTATCCTTGAGCAAAAAAGCTAAGGTTCAGTGCCTAAATCTTGAGGTTAAGAGCCTCCCCAGTACCAGCACAAAAATGAATGAATGAAATAAAACTAGGAGAAAAAAGACTAGAGGTATGGGTCAAAGAGTAAAGTGCTGGGGCCGGGTATGTGGCTTATTGGTAGAGTGCTTACTAAGCATGCATGAAGCCCTGGGTTAGATTCCTCAGTACCACATAAACAAAAAGCCAGAAATGGCTCTATGGCTCAAGTTTTAGAGTTCTAGCCTTGAGCAAAAGAAGCTCAGAGATAGTTCCCTGAGTTCAAGCCCCACAACTGGCAAAAAAAATAAATTAAAAAAGAGTATCAGGTGCCTATATAACAAACTCAATTCCCTGAGTTCAGACTCCAATACCATCTAAAAAAAAAAGTTGGACATGGTGAAATAAGATCCTGTTTGAACCAGTAAACCAGGCCTGGTAACATACGTACTTGGCATCCCAGCTAAACAGAAAATAAGTAGGAGAATCTTCAGCTGGCCTCAAGCAAAAATCATGTGACCCTACCTGAAAAATAAAGTAATAAAGGGCAGATTCAAATGGTAGAGTACTTGCCTAGCAAACACAGGCCCTGAGTTCAAACCCTAATACCAGAAAGAAAATTTTTTAAAGTAGAGGAAATTTTCCTTTAGTAAAAATTGTTGGGTTTTATTCCCCCTTCTTTTTCATATTGAGATTTAAACTTAAAGCCTTAGGATTGCTAAGTAGGTGCTTTATCTCTTGAGCCATGCCCCCAGCTCCTGGTAATAAATATTGAAGGAAAAGAAGAGAGGCCCAGGGCTGGGAATGTAGCTGAATGGTAGAATGCTTGTCTAGCATGCATTAAGCCCTGGGTTCAATTCCTCAGTACCACATAAACAGAGAAAGCCAGAAGTGGCACGGTGGCTCAAGTGGTAGAGTGCTAGCCTTGAGCTGAAGAGCTCAGGAACAGCAGCACCCAGGTCCAGAGTTCATGCCCCACATCCAGGGAGGGAAAAAAGAGGAGAGGCCCAGATAGGAGCCAATTGTCCTACTTCTTTTTTTTTTTTTTTTTTTGGTCGGCCGGGGGGCTTGAACTCTGGGCCTGGGTGCTGTCCCTCAGCTCTTCAGCTCAAGGCGAGCGCTCTACCACTTGAGCTACAGCGACACTTCCGGTTTTCTGGTGGTTTATTGGAGATAGGAGTCTCACGGTCTCTCCTGCCCGGGCTGGCTTTGAACCGCGATCCTCAGATCTCAGCCTCCTGAGTAGCTAGGATTACAGGCGTGAGCCACCAGCGCCTGGCTTCCTACTTCTTTTATTGAAACCTTCCATGAGGTTTCAGCATAGAGCAGGTTAGAGAATAGTTTGAAGGCTTTTTCTGATGATCTTCCCCCAGGGCTATGGTGACAAACACATCACTCTTTATGACATCCGAGCAGAGCTGAGTTGTCGGTATAAGGATCTCCGGACAACCTACCGCTCTCCTAATACAGAAGAAATCTTCAATATGTTAACCAAAGAAACACCAGAGACTTTCTATATTGGTAAGCTCTGAAGTCATATTTTTAGTTAAAGGAATATGTGTTTGGGGGAACAGGGAGCTTTTGGTCTCAAACATGGCAATAATTTCAATAGAATGGGGCAGGTTTGTATTGTAGGAAAAGAAACACAAGAAAGTCTCATCTAAAAAAAAGAGCCAAGGGCTGGGAAGGTGGCTCAGTGGTAGAGCGCTTGCCTTGCATGCATGAGGCCCTGGGTTCGATTCCTCAGCACCACATAAGCAGAAAAAAAAAGCCGGAAGTGGCGCTGTGGCTCAAGTGGTAGAGTGCTAACCTTGAGCTGAAGAGCTGAGGGACAGTGCCCAGGCCCAGAGTTCAGACCCCACGACCAACAAAAATAAAGAAGTTCTGTCATTACTGGGTTGGTAAGAATGGGTCACCTCTCCATTCTCTGCTGTCTGTTCATCCTCTCCTTTCCTGTAGGAAAGCTCATCATCTGCAATGTCACTGGCATTGCTCACAGGCGTCCACAGGGTGAGAGCTATGACCAAGCCATCCGCAACGATGAGACAGGGCTGTGGCAATGCCCCTTCTGCCAACAGGACAATTTTCCTGAACTAAGTGAGGTAGGTGCTGCAGTGTCATCATCTTTAGTGAATTTCTTTGATTGATTAAATGCTCTGGTGATCTAAAAAGAATCAAGTACACAGAAAAAGAAGGATAGATTACATGCTGGTTTAAGAAAGTCCTTCCCTATGCCACTGAGAATTTACCTATACATTATCTATACATTCATTCTGGTGGAGTCATCCTAACCCTAAACTTTCATCCTATTCTCTGTGTATCACTCCAGAAACAAAATGAGAATGCACATGTTTTTTTTTTTTTACCTAGAGGATAGGCAGTATCCCAGTATATACTTATTAGAAGGTATATGCAGGCTTCCTTCAATTCTGTTATTTTTTTTTCTGTACTCTTCCAGACAGCATCTGCCTTTCTGATGGTCAGAAGCCATTGAAGCCACCTTATTAGACAGATGTAAAAGAGTTTCTCAGCCTTAACCAATAAAAACATCTGATATGATTTGTCCAAGATCTGAGATAGCCAAGGGATATTTCATCCCACCGTAGTAAGTCATCCTGAGAAGACTTACATAGCTACCTCTTCCCTCCCCTCTCACTCCCCCATCCCCAGTCCTGGGGCTTGAACTCAGGGCCTGGGCACTATCCCTGAGCTTAAAAATTTTTTTTTTTGCTCAAGGCCAGCACCCTATCACTTGAGCCACAGTGCCACTTCTGGCTTTTTCTGTTTATGTGGTACTGAGGAATCAAACCCAGGGCTTTGAGGGCTGGCTCAGCGGTAGAGTGTTTGCCTCTCATGCATGAAGCCCTGGGTTCAATTCCTCAGCACCACATCAGAAGTGGCACTGTGGCTCAAGTGGTAGAGGGCTACCCTTGAGCTGAAGAGCTGAGGGACAGCACCCAGGCCTAGAGGTCAAGCCCACGACGGACAAAAATAAAAACAAAAAAAAGCAGAGCTTTGTGCATGCAAGCACTCTACCACTAAGCCACATTCCCATCCCTAGATACTTCTTATACTCACTAAGGCAGGACAAAACAAAAAGGGCCTCAGTTGGAACTAGAGAGATATGCGTTAATTAAGCACAAAAGAGTAATCTGGTTCCAAGCATCAGCTATGAGTCAAGGAACACTGTGGGTGGTCAAGTTCTCCCTTGGAGGTGGCTGAGTCAGTTTTTCAGACTAGTGCCAAGTATCAATGGTAAAATAAATTTCAGTTCTTTCTGAACTTGTGATCTTTGGGACCTTAATGATCAACCTCCTTTCTTCATGTCTTTCTTCAGGTCTGGAACCACTTTGATAGTGGTTCGTGCCCTGGCCAAGCTATTGGTGTCAAAACACGGCTGGACAATGGTGTTACTGGCTTCATCCCTACTAAATTCCTCAGTGACAAAGTGGTAAAGCGACCAGAGGAACGAGTGAAGGTACATAAATGACTTGCCTAAGGATGTAGGGCAGTTTCCAACCACCCCAAGTCAGTTCTCTAACTTCATGCTATCTCTACCAGACGTTAGGCTGTGTTCCCAGTGGCTGCTGGTGGAGAGAGCTTGGTGGTAGGGTTATGAGTAGCTGGAAGAAGCTGAGAAAAGCATCTGAATGAGTAGCAGCTTTTGTCTACTGCCTTTGTAAAGCAATTTCTGCCAGCTGCCAGCCCTTTGAGAGAGGGCTCGCTTCCTGTGTGGGAAGCTGAAGTTTCAGCAAAGAGCAGGAAGCAAGACCCAGTATCACATGGTGCAAAAAGAAAGGCTCTGCCTGTTCTCCCATGCCAAGCAGTACTGCTTTAAGAGATTTAACAGGATGTGTGGTGCAGCCCCATGAACAAGGCACCTCTGGTTTTCACAGCAGACCTGAGAGACACAGAAGAAACTTTCAAATCGTTTCTTCCTAGAGCTTGGCAGTAAATTTCTAACTCTGTCCTAGTATTCTCCAGCCATGGCAGCTATTTACTATACACCCAGTAGACACTGGCACTTGGCATTGATGTATGTTGTCTCTAATCCCACAATATGATGGGACCGGAATATCTTCTTTTTTCAGAGAAAGTGCCTTTTCAGGATCACCCAGTCAGTGGCATGCTAGGACCAGATCTGCCAGCTTTTTAGTTCTAAATGTTATGAACATGGGAGGACTGTGGGCTTAGAAGGCTTGGGAAAGAAATCCCTAATGGGAAAATTCTCAACAGGAGAACCACCATGCAGAGCTTTATAGCAACTATTTAGAAGGGCTCAAGTCCAATAAAGTACATAAAAGAGCTGTTACTTTGTTTTCCCTCCAAAGATGGAAAAGCTAGATTTTGATTATCCATGGAAGCAGTAAGCAGGTGACTTTATGGGAGAAGGGAAGAGTGTCAGTTGATGAGGAAGGAAGTTCCACAGGCTCAAGTTGGTTTCCCAACCCAGAGTTGAAAGGTATAGGGTAAAGGCATGGCCTATATTCTTCTGCACACCAGACTTACCTCCAAATTCATATTCTGCTATTTACCAGCTGGCTAAATTTAAGCAAACCTTACTTATCTGCCTTGATTTTGGTGTTCTCCTATGTAAAATAGGGCATTGGGCTAGATCATTTTTGTCCCTTCCAGCTCACATGTTCTGTGGATCTAGGTGGGAATGACTGTTCACTGCCGTATCATGAAGATTGACATTGAGAAGTTCAGTGCAGACCTGACCTGCCGCACCTCAGACCTCATGGACAGGAACAATGAGTGGAAACTGCCCAAGGACACCTACTATGACTTTGATGCGGAAGCAGCAGACCACAAGCAGGAAGAGGACATGAAGCGGAAGCAGCAGCGGACTAGTGAGTATACCACCACCACCACTCCTGTAAGCCTGAAGATCTTGGTAGCTTTCACGGTGTAGGACTCAGGTCAAAGAGTACATGTATATCAGTTTCCTAGTTAGAATAGATACTCAGCTTCAAGGTGCTGAGGCCCAAAGGTGTTAATGAAAAGAAATGATGGATGGGGGGGCTGGGAAGGTGGCTCAGTGGGAGAGTGCCTGCCTCGCATGAGGCCCTGGGTTCGATTCCTCAGCACCACATAAGCAGAAAAAGCCAGAAGTGGCACTGTGGCTCAAGTGGTAGAGCACTCGCCTTGAGCTGAAGAGCTGAGGACAGCACCCAGGCCCAGAGTTCAGGCCCCACAATCTAAATAAATAAATAAATGAATGAATAAATAACTAGAAATTAAAAAGATTTGCTTATGTTTAAAAAAAAAGATGAAATGATGAATGGGTAGAACTAAAACTCCGGATCTCTTCAGTCACATTTTGTTACTAAGGCATTGTGACTATTAAAGCTTTATTGGGGGCTAGGAAGGTGGCTCAGTGGTAGAGTGCTTGCCTCACATGCATGAGGCTCTGGGTTCAATTCCTCAGCACCACACAAACAGAAAAGGCCAAAAGTGGCATTGTGGCTCAAGTGGTAGAACACTAGCCTTGAGCTGAAGAGCTAAGGGACAGTGCCTAGGCCTAGAGTTCAAGCCCCACGACCATAAATAAAATTAAATAAATAAAACCTTATTGTCCTAGGCATGCTAGGGACCCCTTGCTAACAGTTCATTCACATCAGACCCAGACAGCATGAAAGAGCCTCAGAAACCCATAGTGGGTCAGAAACTAAACCCTGGTCTAAACTAAACCCTTGTAGCTGTTGGCTACTAGCCTATATCACCTAATCCTATCCTCTCTTGCCCTCAGCATACATTAAACGAGTGATTGCACATCCATCCTTCCACAACATCAATTTCAAACAAGCAGAAAAAATGATGGAGACTATGGACCAGGGGGATGTCATTATCCGACCAAGCAGCAAGGGTGAGAACCACCTGACGGTGACTTGGAAAGTCAGTGACGGCATCTACCAGCATGTGGATGTGCGAGAAGAAGGCAAGGAAAATGCCTTCAGCCTGGGAGCCACTCTGTGGATCAACAGTGAGGTAAGAGCCATGCCTGATCACCTACCCAGCCCCACTCCTGGTTCCAAAAGCCATGCGAGATTGCTTTCATTTGATATTAGTATCTCAGATGTGTGCATGCACGCGTGCATACGTGCGTGTGTGCGTGTTTTGCTGGTCCTGGGGCTTGAACTCAGGGCCTAGGCACTGTCCCTGAGCTTCTTTTGCTCAAGGCTAGGACTACCACTTAAGCCACAGTGCTACTTCCATCTTTTTCTGTTTATGTGATACTGAGGAGTTGAACCCAGGGCTTCATGCATGCTAGGCAAGCACTCTACCACTAAGCCACATATCCCATATTCATTTTAATTGTGCAGTGTTAAGTAGTAAAACAGGAGGTGGGGCTGGCCACTGATGGCACACTCCTTTAATCCTAACTACTTGGGAAGCTGAGATCTGAGATCATGGTTCAAAGCCAGCCAGAGCAGGAAAGTCCCTTAGAAATTTAACTCCAGTTAACCACTGGAAAACCAGAAGTGGAGCTGTGGCTCAAAGCAGTAGTGCCCTAGCCTTAAGCAAAAGAGCTCAGGGACAGTGCTCAGGCCCTGAGTTCATCCCCTACAACCAACAGCAACACCCACAAAAAAGGTGAGCCTGGCACCCGTGGCTCATGCCTATAATACTAGCTACTCAGGAAGCTAAGATCTGAAGATCATGGTTCAATGTCAGCCCGGGTAAGAAAGTCCATGAGATTACAATTAATCACAGAAAAAGCTGGAAGTGGCACTGTGGCTCAAATGGTAGAGTGCTTTTCTTGAGGAAAAGGAGCACAAGGACAGCACCCAGGCTGAGTTCAAACCCTAGGACAGGCAAAAAGTAAAAATAAAAACAGAAGGTGGTGCTTGGGATAAGTCATCAGTTTTGTATATGTTGCTTCCTGTACATTAAATTTTGAAGTAGATTATAGAGTACCAGTGAAGAAGCTGAAATGGGTGTGTGAACACACATAGCAAGTATTTTGACTGTGCTCAGTGAAATCTGGTGAAGTTCCCTCCTGTTCCCAAGTACCAGGGGAGAACCACAGTTAGGACTTGAGGCTGTGCCTCATAAACTAGTTTGCCTGGGTGCCAGGGTACAACTCCAGTCCATTGGATAAATTGAGGGAATCTTGCAATGGAGTGAGGCTTCACAGGGTTGGGAAACCTTAACCTCCAGCCCCAACCCTGCCAGGGTTTCTCACAAGGAATACTTGATGAAGGACCAGGAGTTTTAGCTATGGATGTGACATATGAGGCCTTCACCTTCTTTCCACAGGAATTTGAAGACTTAGATGAAATTGTTGCCCGCTATGTTCAGCCCATGGCATCCTTTGCTCGAGACCTCCTGAATCACAAGTATTATCAAGACTGCAGTGGTGGGGACCGCAAGGTAAGCCAGGCTTACCTTCCAGGCTCCTAAAGCTGGATACTTTCCCTTCAATGTTAGGAACGCTCAGGTGATGAAACAAGTATACATGTGTATGTGCCAGATATGTGTATCCTACCAAGCACATTGCTATCCCAACCTCTTCCCCCTCATTCTACCCCCAGAAATTAGAGGAGCTGCTCATCAAAACTAAGAAGGAGAAGCCCACCTTCATCCCTTATTTCATCTGTGCCTGCAAGGAACTGCCTGGAAAGTTCCTTCTGGGATACCAGCCCCGGGGTAAACCCAGGTGAGCACTGGTGCTGAGAAGCGGCTCCTGCTGGGCCCACAGGAAAGCTGGAAGGGAACATCCTGCTCTGCTTCAGCCTGTCTGCCTTTCCTCACTTACTTGTTCAGAACTGAGGTTGGAGGTGGGAAAGGGGGTGATGATTTAGAGCAAGAGGTGAAAATTTACCTAAGAAAGGTGGATTAGCGGGGCTGGGAATGTGACTTCTTGGTGAGTGATCACCTAGCATGCAAGAAGCCCTGGGCTCAATTCTTCAGTACCATATAAACAGAAAAAGCCAGAAGTGGCACTGTTGCTCAAGTGGAATACTAGTCTTGAGCAAAAGGAGCTCAGGAACAGTGCCCAGGCCCTGAGTTCAAACCTTAGGACTGGCAAAAAAAAAAAAGGGAGGGGGAATTAGCATGAAAAAGAGTTCTAGGGGACCTCAGTAGCTCATGCCTCTTACAGGCTACTGTTATTACCTAGCTATTATAAAGGTTGAGATCTAAGGATCAAGGTTTGAAGCCTGCCCAAGCAGGAAAGTTCTTGATATCCTTATCTGCAGTTAAGCAACAAAAAGCCAAAAGTGCAGCTGTGGCTCAATTGATAGAGGGCTACCCTTGAGCAAAAGGCTCAGGGACAACACCCAGGATTGGCAGAAAAATAAGAATTCTCTCCCCTTCACCTCCCTTTTTTTTTTTTTTCTCTCGTGAGGACTGAACTCTGGGCCTGGGCTCCGTCCCTCAGCTCTTCAGCTCAAGGCTAATGCTCTACCACTTGAGCCACAGCGCCACTTCTGGCTTTTTCTGTTTATGTGGTACTGAGGAATCGAATCCAGGGCCTTATGCATGTGAGGCACGCACTCTGCCACTGAGCCACCTTCCCAGCCCTCACCTCCCTTTCTCAGAGGCATTCCTTGCTGATTGGTAAGACTGGAGTAGCACACTGATCTCTCCATCTGCTACCTGCTTGGCCCTCCTTGGGACTCCCGCACTTGGCTCACTGATACCGCAGTGTACTAGGGCGTGGGCCCTGTAAGGGGAATTTCTGTGTCTCCCATTCTCTTGTGTGCATGTGACTGTCAGGCTGCCCTTTCTGAAGTATTCCTTTATCTGCATTCCTCTAGTTCATCCTGAAACAGTGGAATCTCAAGTTTCTTAGGCTTGCTTCCTTCTATCTTTTGTATACCCTAGTCATTCCAGCCTTCTCTGCCTTGGCCCTGGCCTATCATTCCCATAGCCCTAGGCCAAAGCATGTGTGTATTTCTGCTTACTTACATCGGTCCACAGCAATGCACTGCTTAGTAAAAGGCGAAAGATTTATACGATCTGAAGAGAAACCAGAGTTCAATGCACTGCTTAGGTTTTTTTAGCAGGCTTAGGGGCCATATAATAAAAGCCTTCTACTCTAGGCCCTACCCTTTCTTGGGCATACCTGTGGAATGCTCCTTTTTTTTTTTTTTTTTAACCAGTCTTGGGACTGAACTCAGAGCACTGTCTCTAAGCTTCTTTTGCTCAAGGCTAGGACTCTACCACTTGAGCCACTGTGCCATTTGCAGCTTTTTCTGTTTATGTGACACTGAGGAATCAAACTGCGGGCTTCTTGCATGTTAGGCAAGCACTCTACCACTAAGCCACCTTCCCTGCCCTGTCATTCTTTCTGTGAAACCTTTCCAGATTCACCAGTATTCTTCAAGAGGATGGAAGCCAGGGTTGTGTAGGGCTTGGAAACATCTATGAGGAACAGTTCAGCAAGCTGGGGGCTGCCTTCACTGAAGCCTGTGTGGTGGTACAGCCTCCAGCAAGCCTTCCTTTGGCAGCCAGTACACAGCAAACCGAGGCTACTGACATCTTGGTCTTGGTCTTGGCTGTACAGCTGCCCTTCACATAGGCCCTGTCACCTCTTCTCTTCCTTAGCACCCAGTGTGGCTATTGCACATGGTGAACACGTTTCGGTTGGTCTCTCACAGCTGAGTCCAAGGGTATCTGATGTATATTTCCTTCTAAAATTTCAGGATAGAATATGTAACAGTAACTCCTGAAGGATTCAGGTACCGGGGCCAGATCTTCCCAACTGTGAATGGGCTCTTCAGGTGGTTTAAAGATCACTACCAGGACCCTGTACCAGGCGAGTTCTTTTCTCTGACTTCTGGGTTGTGGTGGGAGGGGCAGGTGCAGCCTGACCAAGTGATTGCTGGTCTTCTGGGGGAGAGAGGAGGCTATCATTGCAGCAGAGCAGTTCTGTTCCTATTGGGTCTATGCAACTTCCCCTCCTCCTTCCACCCACCTCAGTCCCTCCCGTAGCCCCTGAATTAGGAAGACAGAAATAGGTTTCTTAAGTCACATAACTAATTATATCCATTTCCTACAGGCATCACTCCTAGTAGCAGCAGTAGGACACGGACCCCTGCCTCTATCAATGCTACTCCGGCCAATATCAACCTTGCAGGTGAGGTGCTCAGGCCTGGGGCCAGGGAAGAGGGAAGGGGACTTTCACCTCTTACATGCTCATTTTGTTTCTGTGTATTTACAGATCTGACACGAGCTGTGAATGCCTTGCCCCAGAATATGACATCGCAGATGTTCAGTGCCATTGCTGCTGTGACAGGCCAGGGACAGAACCCTAATGCTACCCCAGCCCAGTGGGCCTCCAGCCAGTACGGCTATGGTGGCAGTGGAGGCGGCAGCAGTGCTTATCATGTATGTGGCTTGGGAGGAGTGTGGGGTAGGAGAGGGACAGGCATCTTAATATACCCACAGACACATATCCTATACATACCTCTGGCTGTGTACGTGCACAGGACTGCCCTGGCCTTAGGAGCCATCACTTAACCAATAATTTTCCCAGCCCATTTAACTGGGAATAAAAAAAGAGGCCTGTTCTTCCAGTCTCCTTTGGGATCTTAGGAATTCTCAAGCCACTAGAAACCCAGAGCTGTTTAGGATTGGTGGGCTGCTTTGTGTTGCTGCTACCAGACTGCTGGCCTCCCTCAGCTGCTTAGAACCTCATACTGCTCAGGATTGTGAAGGACATGGAAAGCCCTGTACTGAATCCACCTTTAAAGCTTGCCAGAAATTCAGCAGAGCCAAATAAGCCTAGAATCCATCCCCACTTCTCTGATCCTTTCTCCAGGTGTTCCCAACGCCAGCCCAGCAGCCAGTGGCCACACCACTAATGACTCCCAGCTACTCCTACACAACCCCAAGCCAGCCCATCACCACACCTCAATACCACCAGCTCCAGGCCAGCACTACCCCACAGTCCGCCCAGGCTCAGCCCCAGCCTTCATCGAGCTCCCGGCAACGGCAGCAGCAGCCAAAGTAAGTAAAGGTGGTGGGTGGTACAGGCAGGTTGTTAGCAGATGTCATGAAGCCATGTCCTCTTGAGAGTCAAGGCCCACATGGTTTCTCAAGGGTACTGGTATTGAGAACACGGAAGAGCTGTGTAAGTATAAGCTTCCTTTCTCACTGGAGTCACCAGAAAGACAGGTATTTAATCTGTAAGTGATGGATGGGCTTTCCTCTTAGTGAGCCCAAAAGAGTACTGATCTCAAAGGCCCTTCTCCCTCCCAGGTCCAACAGCCACGCAGCCATCGATTGGGGGAAAATGGCAGAGCAGTGGCTTCAGGAAAAGGAAGCAGAACGGCGGAAACAGAAGCAGCGGCTGACACCTCGACCCTCCCCCAGCCCCATGATCGAAAGCACCCCCATGTCCATTGCTGGCGATGCGACCCCACTCCTGGATGAGATGGATCGGTAGGGGCCCTGCTCCTTGGACTCTGGTCACCTCTGAGGCTGAGAGGCCTGGCCATCCACTGCCTCACTCTCTGTCCCTCCTTTTTTGTCCATAAATTGGCTTGAAGTGATGTTCTCTTTGGTGGTCAGCCTAGATGGATAGCCTTGTGAACTTGAGTTCAGTGTATATCAACAGCAATTCTCTACTGACCACCTGTTTTGGGACCAGGCTGGGAGGGAAAAGTGGCAGGGAGGAAGAGGAAGATAAGAACAAGCATGGAGCCATGTGTATTCTACTCCCGATAAGCCATTTTGAGCTTCTGCCCTCACCTGACTGGCTATCATGGGGCATCAAGCTCAACTCATATGTCCCCCAGACCTTGGGGGGGAAAGGGATGCTATTTATTCAATTTGGGGCAGGAGGGAGAGGAGGGAAAGTATTTCTGGTCCTGATACCAACATCTTGGTGGCTGTCAAAGGATTGTGGGGGACATGAGGGAGCAGTGCTGGTCTGCCAGCCCCTGACTGGCCATCCTTACCCACCTGCTGCTGCCATGCTTCCTGCCTGTCATTTGAATAAACAGTGTTTCTACAGAGCACTCAAAACGGTCTCTCCACCTGCAAGAGTGGCTTCAAAGCAGTTTGCTCCAAAGGCTTCCGACCTCCTCTCCCAATCTGTGAGAGAGGCAAGGATTCAGACTGCCTAGGATCACATCCCTATCCCCTTCTTTTGAGCCTTATGACCCCATGCCAGCTTATGTCTTACTGTGGCGATGACGACCCCTGCCTCTACCTATGAAGGCAGGATGAAATGCTGAGTTGGGGCCTGGCACCTCATAAACGGCTCCTGCAGCCCCATCGTCTTCTTTCCCTGTAGGAAGTATTTCCAGGTTTCTGACCTTGCACTCCTTCCTCTTTCCCAGCTGGGCCTTGGTCCCTGATCTCTTAGTGACATGGGTTTCTGCCCCAATAATTGGCTCTGTCTCATACACACACACGTACACACACACCTAGAAACAGAAGCTGAGATCAGAGAAGGCTGTTAACCTGCCTCCCTTCCTGGCTTGGGCCCAGCAACCCTTGTTTCTGGTCCCTTCCCTAACCCCAGAGCCTATTTTGTTCCAAGTTGATGTCTCTGCTTCTTCACCAGGGCTTCATCTCAGTTTTGTGATTCATTGCTGGGAGAATAACCCCCCCCCCCCCCGGCCTCTACTTAGAGCTCCACAGATTTGTAGTTAGAAAAGGCTGTCAAACTTGATAAGCTCCCTCTACATTTTCTTCTGTCAGTACTTCTGACTTGGGAAGAGGCTGGCCTGCTGGGAACTCAGTTTTGCACCTTTCAGCACAAAAGTGCTTCAATGGTCCTAGCAGGACTACACCAGCTTCCCACACCAGGGACACGAAGGTCATGTCCCTTGAGCCATAAGGCCCCTTGGACCAGGGCCACCTGTAGAAGGAAAGGCCAGGCACAGTGGCAGTGGGTAAAAAGGTTCCATTTATTGGGACTATTACTGCATAGTGTTGCCTATCCCAGAAGTGGATTTCTTTTTTTCTTTTTTTTGCCAGTCCTGGTGCTTGAACTCAGGGCCTGGACACTGTCCCTGAACTTCTTTTACTCAAGGCTAGCACTCTACCACTTGAGCCACAGAGCCAGGTTTTTCTGTTCATGTGGTTCTGAGGAATTGAACCTACGGCTTCATGCATGCTAGGCACTAGGCAAGCACTCTATGCCACTAAGCCACATTCCCAGCCCCTACACTGGGTTTCACCTACCAAACTCCCAGGGGTAAGAAGCCCACCCGTGCCAAATGTACTCTTCCACCCTAGGGTAGATTGTTACAGGATATTACCAAGAAACAGCACTGTGCCCTATCCCTCCTTCCCTCCCACCTAACTTCCAATGGACTTCTGTGAAAACTAGATTGCCCTTTAAGAAGCTCTGCAGAGCCTGGCACTGGTGGCTCACACCTGTAATCTTAGCTACTGAAGAGGCTGAGATCTGAGGATAGAAAAGTTCAAAGCCAGGGGCTGGGAAGGTGTCTCAGTGGTAGAGTGCTTGTCTTGCATGCATGAGGCCCTGGGTTCCATTCCTCAGCACCACATAAGCAGAATAACCCAGAAGTGGCACTGGGGCTCACGTGGTAGAGTGCTAGTCTTAAGCTGAAGAGCTGAAGGACAGTGCCCAGGCCGAGTTCAGGCCCCACAACCGACAAAAAAAAAAAAAAAAACGTTCAAAGCCAGCCTGGGCAGGAAAGTCCATGAGACTCATCTCCAATAAACCACCAGAAAACCAGAAATGGCGCTGTGGCTCAAGTGATAGAGCAGTAGCCTTGAGCTTAAGAGATGACGGACAGCACCCAGACCCAGAGTTCAAGCCCCACAACCATCAGAAGGCCCTGCAGACCTCAGCCCCTCAGCTCAACTCTGATATGCCCAGGGAACATGCCACCTCCCACAAGTAGCCACCCTGTTGGAAGGAAAGAGAACAGCAGGAGCAATGAGCTACAGGCTTGATGACATTTATTCTTCACTCTGGTTGCACTGGCCTCAACTGAGATTGGGGTTGGACACTGGGGGAGATTTCCTCTTGGACACTTTCCTGACTGGTGAGGTCTTTGTCCCAGTTTTCTTGGCCTGGGCAGTGTTGTTCTTCTCTCGCTTCTTGGGTGATGACTCTGCAATGTCCTCGCTGGAGGGTTCTTCCTGTCCCCGGTAACTCTCCTCACTCTCCTGCTCTTCCCGGCTTTCTTGGCTGGACTCTCCTGACATTCTAGTTAACTCCCTTGGACTCAAATCTGGAGGTGAAGACTCTGATTTCACTGGACTTTTCTTCTTAGTTAACTTGCCCTTCTTGACTTTTTTCTTTAATTTTGTTTTCTCATCCAAAGTTGTCTCCTCCTCCTCTTTCTCTTTTTCCTTTTTCTTTACCTTCTTGATTACCTTGCTGCCCTGGCCTTTCCCTGTGGGGCTTTCAGAGCGCCAGATAGTAATGGGGGCTGCTGAGTCAGGGGACCCATTTGCTGTACAGGTTTCTTGGTCAGTGGTCAGTGCGCTGGGTCCCACCTGAATTGGGATGGGAGGCTGGCTTGCTTCCTCCTCTTCCTCCTCCTCCTCTTCCTCCTCCTCCTCCTCCTCCTCTTCCTCCTCTTCTTCCTCCTGCTCTTCTTCATCTGCCCTACACTCATGGTGGATGGGATGGTGGATTACTGCCACGGAGACAGGCCTGTAACTTTTGCACCTGGGATAAAGAGGCAGAAGAGAATGTTGACACAAAATAGTGGCAGTTTTCCCGATAGCCCCCTCCCATCCGGCAAGTACTCACCAGCTATACCAGAGCCGCCGTTCCACACAGTCCTCATCTGGGATGAGCTCAAAGCAAGGGGTCTGGAAGACGTCATAGCAGGTTGGGCCCCTGTCTCTGGAGCAGGTTGGACCCATGTATTCCGAAGAGCTGCTATTTATCTTCTCTGTGCAGTCTTTCAGCCTGCCACACACATAACTCTCAGCCTGGCTTCCACACCTCTGTGACTCCCAGGGGCCCAGAGGGAAGAAGCCAGAGTGACAGTGGGCTGCTGCTAGAGTTGGCCCCAGGCTGCCAAAAGACCTCCCCATTGTTCTTGGAGCAGAGCAGTGTTTGCAAGCTAGGTCTGAGCTAGCAGGGTTAGGCTGAAGCTGGAGAGGGAAACCTCCAAGAAAGTTTGGACCTGACTCTACCATGGGTCCCCCAAGGAGAGGGAGCCCTCACCTAGGATCACAGTTGCAGTGGTTGACAGCGTGGAGGTGCAGGTTGTGGTGGCCATAGTTCACGAAGGGATGGATGATGTGCCCAGCACATTGCTTATGTTTCCAGCAGCATCTGTTCGTTTCCTTGTATTCACCTAAAGGTGGAGGGACCTGGGTCACTCACAGGCAGCACAACATACTACAATCTAAAAGCCTCACTTGCCACCACCCATGCCCCTTACTCCAACCTATTGTGTCAGTAGTGGAAACTCAGCCTAGTTGTCAGCTTTTAATCACTGCCCTGTCTCCTAGCAACTGCATGAAGCTGCCTGCATCTGTAGACTCCATGAAAAATGGTACTATATCCGGTATGCAGAAGGTCTTTTCAAATGTCCCTGGCTATTCTGGGACCCCCTGCCACTTCCTTTCCCTCCCTTTTGTGGGAGCCCACCATCCTGAGTCCTCCCCTAACTTCTGCTGCCTTCACAAATTGCTCAGAGTTTTACCTGCTTCCCCCTCCACAAGATGCCATGCAAGGTAAGGCACTCTTGCCTGGGAGACAAACTCCAGCAGCAACCAGAGCCCATAGCTTCAGCCTCAGGTCTAGCATCTGATCTGCCCAGGCCCAGGAGCCCCCATCTGACTTACCAGCCTCTGAGCCACTCCAGCCCCAAGGCTGTTAGTGGTGTGGAAACCTGCGTCCTGAGCCTGATCACTGTGAGGCACCCTCCTTGCCTGCTCCTTGTGACATGGGCCCTGCTTGTGCCTGTCTCCCTTCTCCAAAACCCTTCTTTCCTCCTGATGCATTTTTTTTTTTTTTGGTCGGTTGTGGGGCTTGAACTCTGGACTTGGGCACTGTCCCTCAGCTCTTCAGCTCAAGCACTCTACCGCTTGAGCCACAGAGCCACTTCTGGTTTTCTGGTGGTTTATTGGAGATAGGAGTCTCATGGTCTTTCCTGCCGGGGCTGGCTTTTGAACCGCGATCCTCAGATCTCAGCCTTCTGAGTAGCTAGGATTACAGCCGTGAGCCACCAGCGCCCAGTCCCTCCTGATGCATTTTCTCACTGCTCCATTCTTCCCCAATCTTTACTCATCCAACTCTGCTTCTCTCCCTTCATCCTAGAAACACAGAGTTCTCAACCCACCCCAGTCTGTGTCCTTCCACCCCATTAGGCAACACATACCACGTCTGTCTTTTTTCCCAAGGCACAAGGAGAAACTGCAAGTGTGTATGGGGGAGGAGTAACAGGAGGTGAAAAAAGGCTCTCATTTTTGCTTATCTCTGGGAACTTTCCAGGGCTGCCCCACATCTCACCTCTCTGCTTAGGACTCCAGACCACCACTGGCAATCCCTCAGCCATTGTGTCCACTGGGTGACTCCATGTGCCTCTCACAGGCCAAGAGCTTGAGGTCTCAACTACCAGGCAGAGGACAAGAGAACTGCCAGCTCTCCCTGGCCTGGTCTCCACAGCAGGAGGAAACAATGATACAGCCCTGCAGGGTGGGCTACTATGGCAACCTAACCTAAATGCCCATGGCAATTGATCCTTCCTCTATCAAGCTCTTATGAGGGATGGAACTCAGGAGATCTCATGCTGGCTACTAACAAGTATTTAACCCAGGCCATCCAAATGGCCATAAAGTGCCTGAGAGATGAAACAGCAGTGTGGGGTCTGAGGCTTTCCCTTCATGCCTCTCCCCTCCCCACAATATCTCTGACCCACTTGGTGACCTCCTTTTTCTCCTGTGCCCTCTGTCAATCCCAGTGGAAAACAAGGGAGGTTTTTCGGGTTTCCCTACTGCCAATTTGGAACAAAGAGCAGCAGAATAACATAGACCCAGAATTGGAGTCAGACCTGAATTCAAATTTTGCTTTTGTCATTTTCTGACAGATCAAATTACTAGTCTGAGCTTCTCTTCCCTTATCCACAAAATGGGATGAAAGTAGCTATTCTACAGGGCTGTTGGGAATACTCAATACTGCCATTTATAGAGGACAAGATGGGGATGGGCAGCTAGATAATCCCTCTTATCCTCCCCCTCAGCACCAAAGGTTTCCTTCCCTCTACCAAGGTGTCAGCTTTCCCAAGGGAAGCTGACAAAGCAAGGCCCCTTGGGGCCATAGGTTCCCTTGGACCCACCTTCAGAAGAGAAGGAAGAGAAGTCTGTGGTGGAATCCACACCAGCCAGCAGAGGTCCGCTCTCCCAGCTGGGTAAACTGCTTATATCTGAGGATACAGAGTAGCAACAGCTACAGCAGTCCCATCCCCATGCCATTCAGTCACAAAATATTTCCTGAGAAGCTCTGGGTATCAGGGCCCAGCTATATACTGGAAATGCATAGATTTTAAAAAGCTGTCCCACTGCTGGAGGCCAAGGGCTCCTGCCTGTAATCCTAGCTACTCAGAAGGCTGAGATATGAGGATCACAGTTCAAAGTCAGCCTGGCAGGAGAGAGAAGAGGTAAGATGTTGGGAAGCTTCATGACAGTACTGTAATGCACAGAGAAGAAGAAAACACAGAAGAGAAGCCACCTACAAGATAGGGCAGACAAAGATTATGGATTTCTTGGAAGGAATATCTTTGGAACTGGGGTGATGATTTAGGAGTAAGCCAGAATCTAGGTAAAACAGAACTTATCCCAACAGTGTGGCGTTCAGAGGGAGACCTGGGTAGACTTTCCCCTTTTTGTGGCACTAGGGATAGAACCTAGGGCCTTGTACATGCTAATCAAGCATTCTACCACACACCACACTAACTTTTTACTTGGAAATATTAGACTGGGGATTTGTATAAGAAAAGGAAGCTTGCCAAGCACCCACAGCTCACACCTGTAATCCTAGCTACACAGGAGGCTGAGATCTGAGTATCACGGTTCAAGCCAGCCCAGGCAGGAAAGTCTGTGAGACTTATCTCCAACTAACCACCAGAAAACTGGAAGTGGCTCTGTGGCTCAAGTGGTAGAGCACTTGCCTTGAGCAGAAGAGCTCAGGGACAGTGCCTAGGCCCAGAGTTCAAGCCCCATGACCGACGAGAGAAAGAGAGAGGAGAAAAGAATGAGAAAGAGGGAAAGAGAAAAAGAGAGAAAGAAAGGGGCTGGGAAGGTGCCTCAGTGGTAGAGTGCTTGCCTCGCATGCATAAGGCCCTGGGTTCAATTCATCAGCACCACATAAACAGAAAAAGCCAGAAGTGGCGCTGTGGCTCAAGTGGTAGAGTACTAGTCTTGAGTTGAAGAACTGAGGGACAGCGCCCAGGCCCAGAATTCAGGCCTCCATGCCAACAAGAAAAAAAAAAAAAGAAAAAGCCAGAAGTGGCACTAGCTATGAGCTGAAGAGCTGAGGGACAGTGCCCAGGCCCAGATTTCAGGTCCCACAACTGACAAAAAAAAATTTTTTTTAAAAAAGAAGGAAGGAAGGAAGGAAAGGAGGGGAGGAAGGGAGGGAAGCTTGTCAGGCTTCCCCCTGTACCCTTGCTCCCTCCCCAGTGGTCATGCCTATAATCCTAGCTGCTCAGAAGGCTGAGATCTCAGGACAGCAATTCAAAGCCAGTCTGAGCAGGAAAGTCCAGAAATGAGGTGGCTTAAGTGGTAGAGCAGTACCAGAGACAGTGCCCAGGCCCTAAGTTCAAATTCCAAGCCTGACACAGGCACACATATTCACACCCACAAGGGACATTTAAGGTCCTTAGCAGGTCTTCATTGGCACTTAGTCATCCTTCTATAGATCCCAGGTCAGCTCTTCCTGTTTTCCACAACAGGATAAATATTCAAAATTCATTTAATAAATGAATTATTTCAAGCATTTTCTGGAGCATCTTGCTACTGTCCCTCTCTGCAGATAGAGTGTGTGTGTGTGTGTGTGTGTGTGTGTGTGTGTGTGTGTGTGTGTGTGTGTGTACCAGTCCCAAAGTTTGAGCTCATGGCCTGGGCACTATCCCTCACCTGTTTTGCTCAAGGTTAGTGTTCTGTTATTTGAGCCTCAGCACCACTTCTAGCTTTTTGCTGGTTAATTGGAGATAGGCATCTCAGAGCTAGGTGCTGATGGCTGGTGCCTATAATCCTAGCTACTCAGGAGGATCTGAGGATCATGGTTTGAAGCCAGGCTGGACAGGAAAGTCTATGAGATTCTTATCTCCTATTTATTTATTTATTTATTTTGTTGTGGGGCTTGAACTCCACCTGGGTGCTGTCCCTCAGCTCTTTAGCTCAAGACTAGCTACCACTTGAGCCACAGCCCCACTTCCCCTTATCTCCAATTAACCACCAGAAATCTGGAAGTGGTACTGTGGCTCAAAGTGGCACAGCACTAGACTTGAGCAAAGAGAGCTCAGGGACAGCACCCAGGCTCTGAGTTCAAGCCCCAAGACTAACAGAAAAAAAAAAAGGGAAAAAGCCAGAAGTGGCACTGTGGCTCAAAGTGGCATAGCATTAAGTCTTGAGCAAAAGAAGCTCAGGGACAGCACCCAGGCTCTAAAGTTCAAGCCCCAGGACCAGCACAAAAAAATTCTCATGGACTTTCCTGCCTGGGCTGGCTTCGAACCAGAACCCTCAGATCACCACCTCCTGAGTAGCTAGAATTGCAGGCATGAGCCACCAATGTCTGGTTCTGGTAATTTCACAATCACTTTGTTGCTGCGTCTACATGCATCAAATCTTCCAGCCTGGGGAAGGAAGGCAGTCTGTTTTCCTCCCTCTCTAGGTCCCTAGGTCCTAGACCGGATGTCACCTCTGTTTTTACTACTTTTTTCCCTGAACAGCTCCACTAGGTGCCAATGAAAAAGGTCCAGGCCCTGCCTTCAGTGATTTCTAAGACTCTACTTCTAAGCCGGGCACCAGCCTACGGGCCTAGCTACTCAGGAAGCTGAGTTCTGAGGATCACCGTTTAAAGCCAGCCCATGCAGGAAAGTCCATGAGATTCTTTTTTTTTTTTGGGTCCGGTTGTGAGGCCTGAACTCTGGGCCTGGACGCTGTCCCTCAGCTCTTCAGCTCAAGGCTAGCACTCTACCACTTGAGCCACAGCGCCACTTCTGGCTTTTTTCTTTTTGCTTATGTGGTGCTGAGGAATCGAACCCAGGGCCTCGAGCATGCAAGGCAAGTGCTCTACCACTGAGCCACCTTCCCAGCCCCATGAGATTCTTATCTCCAATAAACCACCAAAAACCCGGAAGTGGCACTGTGGAGATGAAGAACTGAGAGGACAGCGCCCAGGCCCAGAGTTCAAGCCCCACAACCTACAATAAAAAAAGACTCTACTTCTTTCTTCTAGTCATGTCACTTTGCTTTTTATCATAACCTAGGTCAAAGCCACCTTTAATTTCACAGGAGTCAACTCTACTGACCCTTTCTTCTCATCTCCTCTGTTACATGGGCTTCCATGACAGATTTTTCCCCCAGCACACACACACAATTCACTGTGTCCCCCATGTTGGCCTGTAACTCACAGTCCTCCTGCCTCAAACCTCAGAATCCTGGAATTACAAGCTTATATCCCTACACCTGGCTCTGACTAACTTTTTTTTTCTCTCTTTCACCACTCTACCTCTAATACAAGGGAATTAATTCAGACCTCAAAAGTGCTCCAGTACTGGAACCATGACTCCTTTGGCCCCAGTCCTGGGCTCAAACTCTCCATTCTCCTGTCTTAGCCGCCTGAGAGGTTTATTTATAATTTATAAATAAATCCAGCAACAAGACAGGTTAGAAGCATGGCTCAAGTTATAGAGTTCCAACAAAGCAATCAAACTAAGCTGTAAAGACCTGAGTTTACAACCTACTACTAGCAAAAAAAAAAAAAGTATACATTTATATATATATATATATATATATGTATGTATGTATGTATATATAGAAAGAGATATACAAATTCAGTATAAAAAAACGTGTGTGGGGCTGGGAAGTTGGCTCAGTGGTAGAGCGCTTGCCTTGCATGCATGAGGCCCTGGGTTCGATTCCTCAGCACCACATAAGCAAAAAGAAAAAACCCGGAAGTAGTGCTGTGGTTCAAGTGGTAGAGCACTAGCCTTGAGCTGAAGAGCTGAGGGGCAGCACCCGGGCCCAGAGTTCAGGCCCCACGACACGACCCCCCCAAAAAAAATGTGTGTATGTGTGTATGTCTGATTCTAATTTTTATTGATGAGGACACAATTAGTTCAAAGATAGGCAAGAGTGAGGCCCTGAGTTCAAACGCTAGTACCACATACACTACTAGATAGCAGAGGCCTTTCTCTCTAGCATGTGTTCCTTCAGACCTATTTACTATTGGCTGAGGAATCACGCATCTGAGTGACACTATATCCTGAGTGACACTATATCATACGCTCCATAGCCAAATCTCAGTTCCTTATCCAAAATCTGCCCTTCCAGATGTTACCTCTTTCCAACACTTGCCTTTGAGCTCCAATGCTGGTAATTTCTTACCCTTTGATTTTACTTAATCGTGACTCTACTGCCTTTCTTATGCCACATGGACCCTGCGGTCATGCCTCGGAGGCCTTCTCGTGTGTAAGGATTTAAACTCTGCTCTGAGTCCTCCTGGCGTGGATGTTCTGCAGTCATCATGCAAGAGGTATCTCTGCAGGATCAGAGGCTATTCATCTTCCACTGACTAACCTCCCAACCAGCCCTGACAACCATCAGATGTTTGTATAGGGGAGAAGGGAAAAAGGGTCAAAGGGAAAGGGATAAAAGCAATCTACTCTTCAGTCTGACACAGAACAGAGAGATTCTACTAAAACAGCAGGGCAATGCTCCTGCAGCAGTGATTGGCTGGGCAGAGAAGACACTTCATTAGGGACAATGAAGGGTAGTAGGTTGAAGGGAAAAGAGAAGCTCGTGGTCTCTTCCTGTGGTCTCTTCTTGATAGGCCGTTAGTCTAAGGACAGAGGCCTAACTCAAAAAACTCACAGGTGGTCCTCATTTGTAGAGAATCTTTCCGGTTCTGTGGGCTGAGACGTTTGCCTTTGAGGCCCAGGTAATCAGCACCAGAGCAATAGAAAGAAGGAAGGGGGAGAGGGGAAAAGGAAGGGAGGGGGGAAAGAAAGGGGAAAGGGAGATAGGAAGAAACAGTACACCCTTGTCTCCTTGGAAATGCCTCGTGGCCCCGCCCCCACCTGGAGGCGATTGTGATGTCTCCCATGGAATCTTCAGACTCCTTCCCACCATTGGGAAGGCCATGGAACTAGCCATTCCATCCCCGCCGTCTGGGGTGGGCAATGGACCACAGGCTCCAGCTAAGCCCAGCATCTCAAGGGCAGAGACTTAGGCCAGAGGCTGCGATGCAGTCAGTGCTGCCTTTTCCAGTCCTGCAGCCAGGAGTTGCAACTCTGGCTCTAGCCTATTGTCCCTACAGATTCTCTGAAAGTCCAGACCTCTACGCGAACCTATCCCCAGCCTGGCCCACAGCCCTGCCTCCCTCATAAGGTCCGGGTCTCCGGTTCTCCAGTGCCCGCAGGCCCTCAAGCCAGCCCCAGCCACGCCCCCAAGCCTTCTGCCCCGCCCCACCTTACCGCTCTCGCTGTCATCCCAAACGTCAGACTTCCTCTCAATCCATCTTTTAATCGTTACCGTCGTCCTGACCCACATTGTTCTTACCAAAGTTCTTTCACGGGACTCTACTTTATAGAGCCCAACCTTAAACCTCAGCCTGATGGAGCCCTCGGCCCAATTATAAACTCCAGTCTCAGCTTCGCCCCAGTCCAGCCCCTAACTCCGCCTCATGTTTGCCTAATTTCCCCGCCCGCCTCCCCCCGGCCCGCCCTAGTCTCCGCGGTCTTCTAGGCCCGGGTATAAGCGTCAGCCGCGTTCTTCATCCGGGGCCTGGAGTTCCTCCCAGGCACACTCTCTGTCACACCTTTAACGCGAGTCCTCCCCTTATCCCAGGCCTTTTCCTTGGAGGCACAGCCCTCCTCGGTCCCATCTCTAGCTTGTTTTCCGACCCAGCTCAGTGTTCAATCTGCAAATTTCTGCCCCGCCCCTGTGCCTTTGATCCATTGCCCAGTCCCAGCGCTGGCCCCGCCCCCAGCTCGTAGCCCCGCCCCTCCACTGTCCGAGCCTCACTCGGCGGCGCCCTCCTGCCGGCGCCCAGCCCTTTCGATCCCGGCCGCCGCCGCCGGGTAACCAGCCCCTGCCTGACTCGCTAGTAGTTGCCTCCACGCAGCCGCATCGCGCCCTCTGCATCATGGTTCCTCCCGGGTGGATCAGGCTCTGGTTGGAGGACCAGCTCTCCCTCCCTCTACCCACAGGCCTCTCCGCGAGTGCTGGTGGCCGAACCCTCGGATGTGCTGGCTCCCAGCCGCCCTGTGACGGCCGATCCCCAGGGCCAACCGACGCGACCCTCAGCGTTCTCTCAGCTCCCGTGGGACAACTCGTCCTATACAACCCAATATCCAAGCTCCGTTCCCTTCCGGAGAGCAGGGCAGGCTGCACTCCAGAGTAACTTCAACCCAGAAACACACACAGCATACACTATTGCCATGTATAGCACACACAATGACCCAATGCAATCATGTACACGGGGTCCCTCACACACATGGAACATGGAACTCCCCACACCCCACGCAGAAAACACACCAGTATTGTGGTGTAATCCACACATTGTACAAAGCAAGAATGAGGCGTGAGGTGGGGACATGGATGGAAATCACAGGACAGTGTGAAACAGAACTGACTCACAGACATTCCACACACCACACCTCTCTGTTTTTCCTCCAATCAACTTTCAAAGCCACTCTATTTATGTCCCAAAGACCTGAAGACAGAAAATGATCGTATTTAAACCTTGTTTTCCCAGGGGTCAAGCTGTCCTGCTTGATGCCTAACCCATATCCATTTTCTTTCCCCCAAACTTGCCTATCAATTCTTCTGAGTTGAAAACAGAGCTTCACTCATGCTATACTAACAATCATACAGAACTAGTTTGAAAGGGAAAGACAGGAAAAGGTAACCAAACCAAAACAAAACAAAAAGGTGGAAATGTGGGTATAAGCACCAAGTAGAAGGCATCACAGGTGGGGGAGCTGTGACAAAGGAACCATTAAAAAGGGACCCATGCCGGGCATCGGTGTAATCCTAGGTACTCAGGAGGCTGAGGATCACAGTTCAAAGCCAGCCCAGGCAGGAGAGCCCGAGAGACTTATCTCCAATTAACCACCAGAAAACCGGAAGTGGTGCTGTGGCTCAAGTGGTAGAGTACTAGCCTTGAGCTGAAGAGCTCAGGGACAGTGCCCAGGCCCAAAGTCCAAGACCCACAACTGACAAAAAAAGAAAAGGACTCAAAACGGGTCTAGTCAGCCGCCTCCCCCACCCACACACACACCAAAACAAAAAACAACCTTCGGCTTCTGAGTTTCCAGTCTGCCTGAACCCTACCTAGGGGCCAGGGAAGGTCAGAATCCATTCAGACTCCAGTTCCAAAATGGCTACACAGTACTCCCCATTTTATATCATCCAGCCCCAGCAAAGGACTCCTTCCTGCAAAATACTAATAATAATGTGCTAATCATAAAAATAAAAATGAAGGGCTGGGAAGGTGGCTCAGTGGTAGAGCGCTTGCCTTGCATGCATGAGGCCCTGGGATCGATTCCTTAGCACCACATAAGCAAAAAGAAAAAAGCCAGCCAGGCGCTGGTGGCTCACGCCTGTAATCCTAGCTACTCAGGAGGCTGAGATCTGAGGATCTCGGTTCAAAGCCAGCCCGGGCAGGAGAGACCGTGAGACTCCTATCTCCAATAAACCACCAGAAAAACCGGAAGTGGCGCTGTAGCTCAAGTGGTAGAGCTCTTGCCTTGAGGTGAAGAGCTGAGGGACAGCACCCAGGCCCAGAGTTCAAGCCCCACGACCGACAAAAAAAAAAAAAGAAAAAATCCAGAAGTAGTGCTGTGGCTCAAGTGGTAGAGTGCTAGCCTTGAGCTGAAGAGCTGAGGGACAGCGCCTAGGCCCAGAGTTCAGCCCCCATGACCAGACCCCCCCCAAAAAATAAATAAATATAAATAAATAAATAAAAATGAAATAATAAAATGCTAATAAAACAAGATTTTAATGCATAAGGCACAGAATATGGCTGAATCATTAGCACTCTGATACATAAAGGGCCTGGGCAGGCTGAGCAAAAGCAGCAGAAATACTGCCCTTCCCCTCCCTCTCACTCCTGGGCACCCTGGAGAACCCCTATAGGAGTAAGAGGGTCATCCAGTTTTTGGCATGGTGCCTAGGGGCAGGAATGGTCCCAGTACCCTTCTGGAGGTATTCCCACCAACGGGCAGCTCTTTGGTCTAAAACAAGTCAGTGCAAATGTTTATGAGTTGAGCGCTGGAGCTTTCAGGTGGCAAAGTGCCCCAGGGATGGGCAGTCTCTGGATGGTCTCCTCAGGGACAACATGTAGCCTTTTTCTTGCTGGCAGTTAGGTAGAGGTTGCTGTCATCACTGTTGATGCCTGAAGAAATATGGAAAACATGTGAAGTAAGGGTTGGGGATGGCCCTTGTTCTCTGCCACCCTCAACTAGCTGGGTACTCACGGACAACATCCCCAATGCGTCGGGCCCCTGTTTTCTCCAGCTCAGCCAGCACGTTGGCCTCAAAGGTCAGTGCTGCCACACGGAAGAAGAATTCCCGGACATTCTCTCCTGACATGAGGAGCAGATGGGTGGGTGCTCAGGACTGAGCACAGCTAGAAGTGTAGGAGGGAGAGGGGTAAGGTTCCCAACTCACCAGTGAGAGATGAGACTGCCCAGTACTCAGCCTTAATCTCCTGGGCCACCTTCAGTGCATCTTTCTCCATTAGTGCATACTGAGCAGGAGTCTGTGGGAAGGTCAGAGTCAGCTGGGGTGGTTGCCTCCCCAAGTCAGGAGGTCCTCCCAATGGCACACTCACACTCAAGTCCTTCTTGGAACCCACAAGGAAAAGAAGCACACTGGAAGGGTCATTCTCCTTGAGGGCATCAGAAAGCCACTGCCTGCAACAGACAATAAGACAGTAGGAAGAAAGGAATGAACCAGGCAGGCCCCTCCTGCTAACTCTTTTTTTTGTTTTTTTTTGGGTCCGGTCATGGGGCCTGAACTCTGGGCCTGGGCTCTGTCCCTCAGCTCTTCAGCTCAAGGCTAGCACTCTACCACTTGAGCCACAGCGCCACTTCCGGCATTTTTTCTTTTTGCTTATGTGGTGCTGAGGAGTTGAACCCAGGGCTTCAGGCATGCAAGGCAAGCGCTCTACCACTGAGCCACCGTCCCAGCCCCCCTCCTGCTAACTCTTAAGCCCAATAACCACTTTGGTATTAGATGCATCCTTTTTTGTTTTGTTTTGTGTTTTGCAAAGGCAAGATTGAACCAGGGGCTTGTGCATTCTAGACAACTCCTCTACCACTGAGCTACACATCCAGCCCCAGGTAGATGTGTTCTTGCACTTCCCTAACTACCTCCCCCCCCCCTCTTTTTTTTTTCCTGTGAAGGAGGGAAACTAGTCTTGGGGCTGGAACTCAGGGTCTGAGCACTGTCCCTGAGCTTATTTTGCTCAAGGTTAGCGCTCTACCACTTAAGCCACAGTGCTAATAGTGGCATTTTCCCAAGTAGTTTATTAGAAAAAAGAGTCAAACTGCCTTTCCTGCCCGGGCTGGCTTCAAAGCATGATCCTCAGACCTCAGCCTCCTGAGCAGCTAGGATTACAGGTGTGAGCCACCAATGCCTGGCTACTAACTACCCTTCTTTTCCAAACCCTCCCTTCCTGGATCCTTTCATTATGATATTGCACCCTCACATACTTGGTGTGTTCCAGGGATGCCACGTCATTCAGGTTGAAGACTATGATGATGGCTGAAAAAGTGGCAGAAATAGCCCCAGGTTAATAGAAAGATGCCGTTGGACTTATTTCCCCAGTCCCTCCAGCTCTATATTATATGATTTTTGTTATTGTTGTGGTTTTGGTTTTTGAACTCCAGTCCTTGTGTTGGCTAGGCAGGCACTCTACCACTTGAGCCACACCTCTAGCCACCTCCAGTTCTATATTAGTAGTATTCCTGGACCATCTGCCCCTCTAGGCTCAGCCCTTACCTTGAGCTCCACGGTAGTAGGTTGATGCAATGCATTTGAACCTCTCCTGTCCAGCAGTGTCCCACCTGAAAAGAAGGAGACCAGGGCCTAGTTATGCAGGGGATGGGGATGGATGATGGGTGCTAGAGAAAGACAAGCTGGAAGGGGTAGAGAAAACACTCACAGTTGGAGACTGAAGGGGATGCCCAGCACCTCAAATCTTTCCATCTCAAAGTCCACTCCGATGGTGGCCTTGTAATTCTTATCAAAGGTGTCTTTGCAGAACCTGAGGAGGTATCAGGTAGTCTAGCCTATATCCTAGGATTAGGCCTGGTTCCATCTTACCCAACCCAGCCAAGCTCTGGTGATACCCTTCTTACCTATTAATGAGACAAGTCTTTCCCACCGACAGGTCTCCCACCACAATGACTTTGGAGATCTTAAATCTGCTGGACATAGGAGTTGACATGAGAGTGAACACCCCATGGAGTTTTTTGTTTGTTTTGTCTGTTTGTTCGTTTTTTCTGGTCATGGGGCTTGAACTCTGGGCCTGGGTGCTGTCCCTCAGCTCTTCAGCTCAAGGCTAGAGCTCTACCACTTGAGCCACAGAGCCACTTCTGGTTTTCTGGTGGTTTATTGGAGATTAGAGTCTCCTAGATTTTCCTGCCCGGGCTGGCTTTGAACCATGATCCTCAGATCTCAGCCTTCTGAGTAGCTAGGATTACAGGTGAGAGCCACCGACGCCCAGCCCACCCTATGGAGTTCTAATGTTCCAATTGGCTCCAGTAAGGCAGCTGTACCTAGGCTGTGGTTACCATAGACACTAGGCCGCTCAGGCAGCTGCCTGGGCAGATGTGCTGGGGAGCAGTGTTCAGAATCAGAGAGACATGGGCTGGGAAGGTGGCTTAGTGGGAGATTGCTTGCCCTGCATGTATGAAGCCCTGGGTTCAATTCCTCAGTACCACATAAACAGAAAAGGCCGGAAGTGGCGCTGTGGTTTAAGTGATAGAGTGCTAGTCTTGAGCAAAAGAAGCTCAGGGACAGTAACCAGGCCAAGTTCAAGCTCCAGGACTAGCAAAAAAAAAAAAAAAAAATCAGAGGGACATAAACTTGAAATCCAGCTTTCACACTTATTGACTATGTGATTTTTGCTCCCCCACCTCCAGGGATAGGGATGGAACTCATGCAAGTGCCTGGAACCACATGCTAAACAAGTGCTCTATCACTGAGCCCTGACATATTTTGTACTACTACTGGAGTCTGAACTCAGGGTCTCATACTGTCTCTCCCTGGGTTTTTCACTCACAGCTGGTACTCTACCACTTGAGCTGTATCTCCAGCCCAACATTTTTTTTTTTTTTTTTGCTGGTTAATTGAAGACAGAATCTCCTGGATTTTTTTTTTGGTGTGGGGGAGGTCATGGGGCTTGAACTCAGAGCCTGGGTACTGTCCCTCAGCTCTTCACCTCAAGGCTAGCACTCTACCACTTGTGCCACAGTGCCACTTCTGGCTTTTTTCTACTGAGTAGATAGGATTTACAGACATGAGCCACTGGTACCCAGCTGTGGTGACTCTAACAAGTCACTTAGCTTCTCTGAGCCTCAGTTTCAACACTTACTCTTGCACTTGTCTTTCTAACATCTCTGCAATTAGATTGCATCTTTGTGTGCATGTGTGTTGCCACTGGGCCTTAAACTCAGGGTCTTGTGTCTCACTTTATTTTTTCAGTCAAGGGTGGTGCTAAACTACTTGAACCACAGCTCTACTTCTGGCATTTTGGTGGTTAAATGGAGACGAGAGTATCATGTATTTTATTGTTCAGGCTGACTTCAAACCACAATCATCAAATTTCAGCCTCCTGAGTAGTTAGGATTACAGACATGAGCTACCAGTTCCTAGCTATTATTATCTTTTATTTAATGAAAACACTATCATTAAAGATGCATCCTAGAACTAGGCACTGGTGGTTCATGTTTGTAATCCTAGCTATTTAGGAGGCTGAGATCTGAGGACCATGGTTCAAAGGCAGCCTGAAGTCCATGAGACTCTTATCTACAATTAACCACCAGAAAGCAAATGTGAGGGCTGGGAGGTGGCTCAGTGGTAGAGTTCCTGCCTTGCATGCATGAGGCCCTAGGTTCAGTTCCTCAGCACCACATAAGCAGAAAAAGGAGACAGTGGCGCTGTGGCTCAAGTGGTAGAGTGCTAGCCTTGAGTTGAAAAGCTGAGGGACAGCGCCCAGGCCCAGAGGTTAGGCCCCATGACCAACAACAACAACAACAAAAAAGCAAATGTGTGGCTTAAATGGCAGAATGCTTACCCTGAGTAAACAAGCTAAAAGAGAGCTCCAAGCTCTGGAGTTCTAGCCCCAGTACAGGAACATACACAAAAGGACAGTAACAAACTGGATTTGGAAAAAACTGTTGCTGCCACTTATGTATAATAAATATATGTATAATTTGAATTTTTAGAAACAGCTATGCTGTAAACTCTGGAGGGGGAAAAGTATCTTCACTCTGTTGAGTTGGTAGTGTGTAGAAATTAACAGTCATATGGTCTAGAAATGTTATTTTACATCTGCACATGAGTAAGACTATTAAATAGTTAAAGTCATATACTGTGTTTGTGTGTGTGCATGTGCATGCACAGGTACTGAGGCTTAAACTCAGTTTCTTTGCTTTTTGTTTTGGTCAATTGTGAGGCTTGAACTCAGTGCCTGGACACTGTCCCTGAGCTTCTTTGTGCTCAAGGCTAGCATTCTACTGGATTTTAAGTGGTTAATTGGAGATAAGAGTTTCCCAAGGACTTTTCTGCTCTGGCTGGCTTCCAACTGTAATCCTCAGATCTCAGCCTCCTGAGTACCTGGGATTACAGGCATGAGCCACCAGGGCCCAGCTCCTTTGCTTTTTGCTCAAGGCTAGCACTCTATCACTTGAGCCACAACTCCAAGTCTGGCTTTCTGGTGGTTAATTGGAGTCTCACAAACTTTCCTGCCTGGGTTGACTTTCAACCTTGATTCTCAGATTTCATCCTCCTGAATAGCTAGAATTACAGGTGAATGCCACCAGTACCCAGCATCTATGTGGATTTGATTACAGAAACTAATATTCTCTAACAAAAAATGTGTGTGTTGCCGGGCACTAGTGGCTCATACCTGTAATCCCAGCTACTCAGGAGGCTAAAATCTGAGGATCAAGGTTAGAAGCTAGTCTGGGCTGGAAAGTTCTTGAGACTCTTTATCTCTACTTAACCAACAGAAAACAAATAGAGCTGCTGTAGAACTGTGGCTCAGGTGGTAGAGGGATTTTTCTGCCCAACCTGGGCTCAAACCATGTTCCTCAGATCTCAGCCTCCTGAGTATCCAGGATTACAAGAGTATTTCCTTTTGTTGTTGTTGGTGATGGTGGCTGTGGGTCTTGAACTCTCGGTCTGGGCACTGTCCCTGAGCTCTTCAGCTCAAGGCAAGTGCTCTATCACTTGAACCACAGCATAACTTCCGGTTTTTCTGGTGGTTTATTGGAGATAAGAATCTCTGCGAGTTTCCTGCCCAGGCTAGCTTTGAACTGTGATCCTCAGACCTCAGCCTCCTGAGTAGCTAGGATTATATGTGTGAGCCACCTGGCTTGAGTATTCTTTTTTGGGGGGGTCGGTCGTGGGGCTTGAACTCTAGGCTTGGGCACTGTCCCTGTGTTCTTCAGCTCAAGGTAATGGTTCTAGCACTTGAGCCACAGCTCCACTGCCTGTTTTCGAGTGGTTTATTGGAGATAAGAGTCTCACGGATGGGCTGGGAAGGTGGCTCAGTGGTAGAGCACTTGCCTTGCATGCATGAGGCCCTGGGTTCAATTCCTCAGTACCACAAAAAGCCGGAAGTGGCCGTGGCTCAAGTGGTAGAGTGCTAGCCTTGAGCTGAAGAGCTGAGGGACAGCGCCCAGGCCCAGAGTTCAGGCCCCACGACGGACCCAAAAAAACAAAAATCAAATGGGTGAGAATCATCCCAGTAAGTGCCGAAAGGCCCCTTGCCCAAGGGCTCAATGGTAGATACATGACCACCTCGCAGGGCTGGGCATTGTCTGAAATCCAGCTACCATCTTTCTACCTTTTTCCAGCGGACCCACAAAGAATCTTGCTGAGAGGAGAGAGGAGGACACGGAGGTGGTATTAAAAAGGGAATGTAATCATGTAGCCTCAAGAGAGTGGAGCTGCGGGGTGCTGGTGGCCCATGCCTGTAATCCTCCCTACTCCAGAGGCTGAGATCTGAGAAGACAGTTCAAAATCAGCCTAAGCAGGAAAGGCTGAGAGACTCCAATTAACCACCAGAAAATTGGAAGCGCAGCTCAAAGTGGTAGAGCGCTAGTCTTGAGCACAAAAGCTGTGGAACAGTGACTAGGCCCTCCTGAGTGCAATGAGTGGATGCCTGAGGCCTCCTTTTTTTTTGTTATGGGTGACCTGAACTCACCCCACGGTGCCGGTCCGGTGCTCCTGGCAGGCGCAAGTGACGCGGGGATGAAAGTCTTTGCGCACGTGCAAAGCGGCCTCTTTCCTCAGGCACTAAGAGGGGCGAAAGAGAATGGGGCTCACGCACTCCCAGGATCCTGTCCCGCAGCCCAGCAGCCCTGAGTTGGGGTAGGATGGAGCCAGGTGGGGGGGTGGGGAAGGGCGGGTCACTCATGAGGGACCACCCTGCTGGGTGGCAGGGCTGCATCTGTCCCATTCTTTCTAGGTCCAGTGCCGTCTCCTCCCCGCGGGGAGGAGCCAGCCAGAGATCCGACGTGGCCCAGGGCGCCTACCTGGGGCAGCTCTGCCAGGACGCGGTCCCTCCGCACAGGCGCCAGGATGTTCATCTTGCCCGAGGCCTTGCGGGGCGCCGGGAGAAGTCGCCGAGGCCTGATCCGCCTGGGCAGCCCGGGCCCGTGGAGACCCGACGATCACCCTCGGTCGGGGAGTCCCGACTATAACTCGGGGCCACGGGGAGCCTACGGGAGCCCGCGGCCTCGGAGGCGCCGCCACCACTGCGGGCCACCGAGAGGAGACAATCACTAGAGGCCTGGGCGAACCCACAATCACCCGGGCCCGGGGCGTCCCGAAGATCACTCGGGGGCGGGGAGACCCCTCGGCCACCAATTGGGGACGAGGAGTGGTGTCCGGGGGAGCCCGGGCCTGGGCTGACCCCACAATAACGCGGGGCCGGACAGCTCCTAAGATAACCCGGGGCCGCGGAGACCCGACGACAACTCGGGGCTGGGGCGGCCCTACCATAACAGAGCGAGCCGGGGGGGCGCGGAGCGGCCCCGCCGCACGGGGTCAGTGTGGGCAGGGGCGGCGCAGCCGGGCCCGCGGGCCGCCAGAGGAGGGGGCGAGGGGCCCGGTCAGGAGGCACGGCCCCGCGTCCCACTCGGCGCTGGCTCTGCTCTGCGCCTGCTGTAACATGATCCCCGGAAATTCCTGAAGAAGGGCCGCCCCCTGCCCCTCTCCTGGGCAGCTCCAGGCCTCCAAGCCGCCCTCCCGGCCGCCTTGGCCTCCCCCCTCCTTCTCTCCTCTCTTCTCCCTGCTGCTGCTTGGGATCCGGGCTCTAGAGCCACACACTTCACCCCGCACCAGGACCGCCCCACCCAGGCTGGAACCTGTCCATATTTGGACCACCACCGCCCTCCCCCCCCCCCCCTCCATTAGCCCTCGGGGTTGCATCTCCCTGGAGACACTTACCCAACTTGAATTATTGGTGATGGGGAATCGGTGATGGCTGCGCAGCATCTGGTGTGGCCAGGAACCAGCGGGAAGGGGAAAGGGGGAGACAGGGGGCCCAAGGAGAGGCGGCGCTTCCCTCCACGATTCCAGGCTCGGAACGTGACTCATAAGAGTCTGCCCCTGCTCGTCTTTATGCCCTGGAAGGTGGGAGGAAGCATAAAAGGCCAAAACAGAACGAGGTTGTTCAGAGATATCCACAGTCCGATGCGTCTTCTTCCTTCCTTCCTCAAAGGTGGGAGGATAGAGGCCTAGGTGGATCGAAAAACTCCGCTCTTGAGGTTAGTCACCAATCTGAGGCACAAGGATTCTTGTCTGGTATGGGCGTGCATTTTTCTGTCCACGTTTTCTGTCTCCCGCTCCAAAAAGCAAAACAAAACAGAACAAGCTTCCTTTCTGCAAAGTTCTTCAGGGTAGAAGACTAGAACTGAGTGTCTTTGACTGCAGGAGGGGAGGAGGAAACAAAGGCCTGAGTGAGGTGGGTTAGATGAGCAGACTTTCGGAGACACAAAGTTGAGGATTATGAAATCTTGCTTTGTCACGCGCTGAATTTGAAGAAACAAGAAACAAAGATGATTGGGACAAGGAAGGGAAAAGATTATTTTGGGGAAGGGGTATGAGAGTAAAATTACAGGAAGAATTAGGATGCGATGGAGAAATCTGTGCACTAGATGTATGAAACACTGAATGAACTACTTCAAGAATATTGTCAACCAGGCGCCAGTGGCTCAAGCCTGTAATTCTAGCTACTCAGTCGGCTGAGATCTGAGGATGCCGTTCAAAGCCAGCCTGGGCAGGAAAGTCTTATTTATCTCCAATTCTCTACTCAGAAAAAGCCAGAAGGGGCGCTGTGGATCTAGTTGTAGAATGCTAGCCTTGAGCACAGAGAGGCTCAGGGATAGAGCGCAGGCTCTAAGTTCAAGCTCCAGGACTGGCAAAAGAGAGGGAGAGGGAGATAGAATATTGTCAAAAGACCACTCATGGGGCTGGAAAGGTGGCTCAGTGGTAGAGTGTTTGCCTCGCATGCATGAGGCTCTCATGCACCTCAGCACCACATAAACATAAAAAGCTGGAAGTGGCCCTGTGGGTCAAGGCACTAGCCTTGAGCAAGAAAGCAACTGAGGGACAATGCCCCGGCCCTGAGTTCAAGCCCCAGAACTGGCCAAAAAAAAAAAAGTGGTGCTGTGGCTCAAGTGGTAGAGCACTAGCCTTGAGCTGAAGAGCTGAGGGACAGCACCCAGGCCCAGAGTTCAAACCCCACAACCGACAGACAAAAAAAAAAAAGCCTTTTCTTGGGGCTGGGAAGGTGGCTCAGTGGTAGAGTGCTTCCTCCTTGCATGCATGAGGCCCTGGGTTTGATAAACAGGAAAAAAAAAAAAAAAGGTGGATGGGCACTGTGGCTCAAGTGGTAGAGTGCTAGCTGAAGAGCTTAGGGACATTGCTCAGGCCCAGAGTTCAGGCCCCACAACCGACCAAAAAAAAAAGAGCCTCATGGACTTTCCTGCCAGGGCTGGCTTTGAACCTTGATCCTCAGATCTCAGCCTTCTGAGTAGCCAGGATTATAGGCATGAGCCACTGGCACCCTCTTCCATGAGATTCTTTTTTTTTTATTATTGTAAAAATACTGTACAGAGGGATTACAATTACATGGGCAAGATAATGAGTACATTTCTTATCAAGTATTGTAGCCTCCTCCTTTGTTTACCCTTCCCAGCCTCCCTCCCTAGCCCCCCACCCAAATCTCCACCCCCCCACCAAAGTTGTAGTTAGTTTTTGACAAGACAACTTGTTTCCATGAGATTCTTATCTCCAATAAGCCAGAAAAAACCTGGAGGAGTGGGGAGCTGGGAATGTGGCTTAGTGGTAGAGTGCTTGCCTAGCATGCATGAAACGCTGGGTTGATTCCTCAGTACCACATAAACAGAAAAAGCTGGAAATGGTACTATGGCGCAGTGGTAGACTGCTAGCCTTGAGCACAGAGAGGCTCAGGGACAGTGCCCAGGACCTCTGAGTTCAAGCTCTAGGCCTGGCAAAAGAAAAGAAAATAAAAAGCCTGGAGGAGTGGAGTGGCTCAAGTGGTAAAGAACCAGCTTTGAGTGAAAAGACTAGGAAAACACAAGTTTCCTGAGTTCAATCCCCATTATCGAAACTCCCCTCCCCAACATCTGCATTCACATGTACATGTACGCACACACACAGATTGTCAGGAAAACTTGACACTATTGTAAAGGAGGACAGATGTGCCAGGAGCCAGTGGCTCACGCCTGTAATACTAGCTACTCAGGAGTCTGAGATATGAGAATCATAGTTTAAGGCCAGGCCAGGCAGGAAAGTCCGTGTGTGTGTGTGTGTGTGTGTGTGTGTGGTGTGTGTGTATGTCGGTCATGGGTCTTGAACTTTCCTGCCAGGGCTGGCTTTGAATCGTGATCCTCAGATCTCAGCCTCCTAAGTAGCTGAGATTACAGGCATGTGCCACCGGCGCCCAGTCCATGAGACTTATCTCCAGTTAACCACCAGAAAACCAGAAGTGGCATTGTGACTCAAGTGGTAGAGCACTTGCCTTGAGCTGAAGAGCTCAGGGACAGCACTCAGGCCGAGTTCAAGCCCTATGACCGACAAAAAAAAAAAAAAGGACAGGTGTGCCCCCTTGTACATTCTCAGAAACTCGCCTCAAGTGTTCACCCTTCCCCTCCCCTCAATTTGTTCTGCTATTATATCACGGTGGTAATTGCTAAACCACAACTTTTTTCTGGACCTGTTTTCCACTTATGTTGTTTGGAGGAGATAAATCCTGGTCTAACATTACAGAACTTTGCTTCTTACCTAGTCAGTCTCACTGTATTCTTTCACTTTGCAGTACTACAGTCTCCTAGTGTTGTAAACCTGAGATTGGAAGTTGCTTAAGATGGGAAGCACCCAAGACCAGACTCCAGAAAAAAAAACAGTACATCTACCCTTGTAGGTAAACGCTTATGGGAGGGGCAACAAACTACAACTCCCAAGAAGCCTCAGACTCTAACGAAGGGAAGGTTGGGAGGGGTAATGCATGCTTACTCTGGCTAAAGCAAGAACTACAATTCCCAGAGAGCTCCACGCTACAAGTTATCCAATCAACTCTAACTAAAAAAGTATCGCGATGCTCAGTGAGACTTGATTCTATAAGCCCTAGGAAATCGACGCTGGAAACCCTTTTCACCAAGATGGCGCCGAAAGCGAAGAAGGGAGGTGTGTGTTAGGGCCGCGGGTTTCCTTGGAATGCTCGCAGACAACTTATTGGGAGGACATGGTTGGGCTAAGTTCGCGGGGATGTGTCCCGGAACGGCATCCGGCCGTTATGCCACACTGCTGCGTTATGTGGGCGCTGTAGGCCCAGCCGCATGGGCTGGGTCCTGTGAAGTGGGTTACAGGCAATCCGGCCACGTTTTCGCCAGAGAAGGCCAAATAACTGGCTTGGGGGGAGCGGTACAACGTCATAGCTTGTGTCCAGACCTAAAAGGAATTAGGATTTCCCAGCATTACTCGTTTTCTCCCTCCTTTTCATGTTATATGGGGCCATGTGTCCCTCTGGGGTGGGTATAGTCAAAACTTCCTAGCAAATATCACGTGCTGGTTTCGTTTCTTCGCCATTCAACTGAAGTTCTAACAAGTGGATTACCTTCGCTCCAACATAGTGCATATGATGGGAAATATCTTAATTTTCTGAGATTTGTGATGTTTTCAAAGGAACCTCTGATGCACATGTGGACGTGGGCGCTTGAGGCAGATCTCCAGGCCGGAAGTAACAGATTTCTGGTTTAAGCCCCCCCACCTGATTTTCTTTCCTTCTCTAAGCTCCTGCCCCTCCTAAAGCCGAAGCCAAGGAAAAGGCTTTGAAGGCCAAGAAGGCAGTGCTGAAAGGTGTCCACAGCCACAAAAAGAAGAAGATCCGCACTTCACCCACCTTCCGGCGGCCCAAGACGCTACGGCTCCGAAGACAGCCCAAATACCCTCGGAAGAGTGCTCCAAGGAGAAACAAGTAAGCGCTAGTGTTGCCCCATGCTTGTGTGTTAATTACTACTTAACATGTCAATATTCCAAAATCCAATTTGTTAAGTATAAAAGAGAGGTTAAACACATGCTTTTTTTGGAGTTAAATTTTTATTTCTTTATTCATAACACTTATTGCTGGAGAGGACAGCTTTGAGGGAAAGCACATAGGCAGATTTGATAGTGAGGATTCAGTCATTGTATTTGGGCAGTGGTGTGGCCTGTTAACAATGTCTAGGAGGTACACTTGTCACGTTTTCGACACTCGGGCTGGGAAAGTGGCTGAGTGGTAGAATGCTTGTCTTGCATGCAAGAGGCCCTGGGTTTGATTCCTCAGCACCATATAAACAAACAAAAAAAGCCATAAGCGGCACTGTGGCTCAAGTGGTAGAGCGCTAGCCTTGAGCTGAAGAGCTGAGGGACAGCGCCCAGGCCCAGAGTTCAGGCCCCACAACCGGACCTCAAAGGGAAAAAAAATTTTTTTTCAACACTCCGTCTGTTTGAACCTAGAATTTAGTCTTAACTCTGAACAGGAAAGTATCTTGAGAAGCTATATTCTAGATGTGCTTAAGCCACTGCAGAGTTGTAAGTAAAAAGGTGTTCTTTCAGGGCTGGGAAGGTGGCTCAGTGGTAGAATGCTTAGTAGTGCCTCAAAAGCACCAAACCCTGGGTTCGATTACTCAGCACCACATAAACAAAAAAAAACCAGAAGTGTTGCTGTAGCTCAAGTGGTAGAGTGCTTGCCTTGAGCTTAAGAGCTGAGGGACAGCGCTGGGGCCCAGAGTTCAACCAAAAAAAAATTGTTCTTTCAGGGCTGGAAGTCATGGTTCAAGTGGTAGAGTGCTTAATAGTGCAGGCCCTTCAGTACAGCTGAGTCCTCAGTATCTCCTGAGTAGCTAGGATTACAGGCATGAGCCATCTTTTAGTAACCAATGAAGTAGAAATGAGTGAAAGTGTTTGAAGTCAAAGGTGGTTCTTAAGTAAACCCCTTCAGGTCAAAGAAAATGCATAAGGGTCTGCCTCCAGGCTGGGCTTTCAGAACTCTGGAATTCAGGGTGCAGATGATGACACTGTTAAGCGACCAAAGTCTGACAAAAATGATTTGCATTCTTATTGTCTGATGCACCTATTCTCCAGTCCTTCAGCTGGATTCAAAAGAAAATGCCCATCCAACCTGGGTCCCTGCCTCCATTTTGCTTTTCCTTTCAGGCTTGACCACTATGCTATCATCAAGTTCCCCCTGACCACTGAGTCAGCCATGAAGAAAATAGAAGACAACAACACACTTGTGTTCATTGTGGATGTTAAGGCCAACAAGCATCAGATCAAACAGGCTGTGAAGAAGCTCTATGACATTGATGTGGCTAAGGTCAATACCCTGATCAGGTAAGTGGGCCACAGTCAGGGGTCTGAAAGTTAATGCTTCTGTACAGTTTTGTACATTCTCCTCTGTATGTGGTATCAGTTTTGGGAAAGTGTCCCTCTGGTATAGGATTGGTGCTCATTTTCTGGATCCCTACCTCTAATTGATAGGGGATAAGTTACATTGTAGCCTTTTCCAGTAAAATACTTCTCTCGCCTATTCTGCGCAAATGATGGAATATTCACTATTCAGAAAGGAATGATATGAACAAAGGAACCACTGATGCGCCCAGGATTGGCAGGGACGGGAGGAGGAAGAGAGTGTGGAGACCGAGATGTAGAGACTGTAGTCGCTAAGCTTTCTGTTTCCATCTAGACCTGATGGAGAGAAGAAGGCATATGTTCGACTGGCTCCTGATTACGATGCTTTAGATGTTGCCAACAAAGTAAGCTTCCAACAGACCTTTCTTTGGCTGGTACCAGGGCTTGAACTCTTAGGGGCTTTGTGCTTTCATACAACTGGCTCTAAACTTGGCTTTTCCACCTGAGCTGGCTTCTGACCTTGATCCTTCAGGCATGAGCCTCAAGTGTCTGGCTGCAACAAACTCTTAGTGCCTACCTACCTCTGAACACTGATGATGCATTTGTTAGTCACCAAGCCTGACTTGCTAATTACCCAACTGTCATTTTCCCTTTTGACCATGACACTTAAGCATAATCTTGAAAAGGAGCTCTAATAACACAGTTTCTCCCCCCCTTTTTTTTTCAGATTGGAATCATCTAAACTGAATCAAGCTGGCAAATTATAAATATACATTTTTTCCCACCAATTATGTGTGTCTTGTCTTTGTTGGTTTCTGGTTGGGCCTGGGGTAGGCTAAACTGTCACTAGGAAAATAGAGCTTAAAGAGTTTTGGAGCTGGGAATCAAACCCATGGCATTGAGCTTGGTAGTAAACTGCTTTACCTTCAAACCCACATTCCCAACCCTTTGCAAGACCTCTACTCAGGCCCCAGAGGTATTTATTAATTGTCCTAGAACAACTTGGACATACTCCCTATCCCATCACAGAGATAAGAGAACAAGCTTTGTAAGAGACCACTCTATCCCTTGAAGGGGCTACATGTGAAAAGGCAGTTTGATGCAGCAGAGCTGTCATTGGCATGACATGGCAGTGTGGGTTGCCTGGTTTTTGGGTCATCACCCCCATCTACCATGTCCAACCGGTCTGACTGCTTCCCTCATCCCTTGCCAAACAAAAAGACTTGAGAGGAGTGCTTTCATTAGTGTTTCAATAGTGTGGGTGCAGGCTCAAGGTGGCCCCAGAAGACGCCCACACTTGAGGCAGAGTCCCGGTTTATGTGAGTCTGTTCCAGTTCTTGGCTGTGATTTTTGTCCTTTGCCCCATGTCCCAGGCCTTTCACCTCTCACTCAGTCAAAAACTTGTCTTTGTGTTGCCGGCTGGGGACTGGCTCAGGGCAGAAGTCAGAGCGTAGGAGGCGGGAAAAGTAGATGAGGATCATCACATCCAACATGAGCAAGATGCTCAGCAGAAAGCCGCCCAGGTTCCTCTGGCCTGCATATTGCAGGAAGAATTTGGTGAGGTAGACCTGAGGTGCCAGGCGAAAGAGAAAGTACATGACCAAGTTGACGTACTTGTTGATCCTGTAAAGGAGAAGCTCTTGGGCATTGTTGATCTTCATCATCATTCGGAAGGTGAGGAAGATATTGCTGACTTCCACCAGTAGTGTCAGGACACCTGCACCAACAAAGCTTCTCCAAAAGATGCCAGAGAAGAAGGCACCTATAGCCTATAAGACAAGGTGGAGGTATATCAGACCACCAATTGAGGGCTGGGGAAATAGATGTAATATTTGTGTTTTGGTTTTTTTTCATTCCATAGACTTTGATCTTTGCCCAAAGGTTCTAGCTCTGAGTAGCTTTCCCAGTTTGTTTGCTCAGTAGGTGAGCCTAGGTATTAGTAGCCTCTGAGAAGGAGAACACAGCAGACATTAAGACAGCTTTTTGCCTCCTGGGTTCAGGAAAAATGGATAGGATCCAGTCCTGGATCACATCACTTACCATGACATGGTGAACAAGGTATTCCCAAGAGGCCCGAGTCTGGCTACTAATCACGATGTCCACTGTGTCATGGATGAAGTATCCTAACAGACACAAAGCTTTTAGCTGTACGGTGTTATTTGTTATCGCGAATGCTGCCCACCTCCTTCCCCTCTACCTCAAGCTTCCAGGGCAAGACCTACCTGCGGAGAAGCAAACGAGCAAATAACCAGAAAGTGACCACGCTGTCTCCATCTCCACTAGCATCTCGGGAGTCTGCCATAAACTGGAAGGGAGGGGAAAAGGGAGATTCTCTCGCTTTCAGCATCCCCAAGGACCCTGAACTCCCCCAATACTCTGGCCGGTCCCAGGGTAGTCTGGGCTCCCATCATTGGCTAACTGGAGAGTAAGGAGGAGCTTGGCCGAAACCCAGGTGTCTCGGGTTTCCTAGGATCGTAGCTGGTTGGGTAGTTTTCCCAGCCAGGGAATCAGGTGAGATCCCACGGCCCCGGCTCGCTGTGAGTGATGGGAATAATAACAGGGAAGCCAGTCCCAGCACCCCGCCGCCGGCTCCCTTGGCCACCTCATTTCCCAGTCGCTCACTCACCACAGCAGTGCCCAGATCCCTGACACAATGGAGTGGGTGAAGGAGACGAGGAGGTTGTGCCAGCGCCAGGTGCGCAGGGGGTCGGTGCGCACGTGCGCCGGCAGGGGCAGGCGACTGAGGGCTCGCCGGAGCGCTCGGAAGGTCAGCGTGGCGACCAGGAGCAGGGGCAAGGCGGGATGCAGGACGGGGGTCATACTGGCCCTCCCTGCCGTCTGTCTGTCCGCCTTCTAGGCCGTCTCTCCGGGCAGTTGTGGAAACAGGACTCCGTCTGGCCAGTGCGCCCCGACAGCCTCTCTCGCCGGCCGAAAGCCCCACGGAGTTTTCGCTGAGCCTCTAGGCCCCATCGCCCCTCCCCGCCC